GGACTCGGGGACAGGAAAGAGAAATAAGAAGAAAAGAGAAGTTGGGAGTAAAGTAAACAGAAGGAGAGAGAAAGAACAAGAGGGGAGAAGAGGGATAGAGAGAAAATCACTAAAAATCTGCTTCGCCAACTGCTGAAAAACAAACAAGCAAAATGAAAAGAGCACACTAGGAAAACTGCAGCAACAAACAACAGAAACACAGGTAACAGTAAATAATAAATACTGAATCTCACTGAGCAACACACAAGACCAACAACACATGATATGTTTAGAGGCAGCAGCCAACCAATGTGTGTGTCTGTGAGTATTTGCTTGTACACCTCTGTGAGAGCGCTGGTATTCATAAGGTTTCTCCATGTAAGTGTCTAATAGTAGGTGTGGGGAGCCATAGCCCTGCCCCCCAGGGCATGAAGCAGGCATGGGGGAGATCCAGGCCCCAGACATTCAGAGGGCCCACAGAGCGCGAGAGCCCAAGGAGGAAGACCGGAGGGGCAGCCGCACCACCCTCATGGAAAGAGCTAAGGAGAGCTGTGGTGACGTGTATACGCCCAGGTTCCAAGGGGCCCCCATCCCCCAGAAGGGGCCTGACCGAGCCACGGGCACCAGGTGCCAAGCAGCCACTGAGAGTGGCATACATGTGCACCCAGCCTACAATGCCCCGATGGCTGATGGCATCATCAGTCACCAGCAGGAAGTGTGTTGGGGGGAGATAGGTCCCCACACCTGGGAGGGCCTGAGATGTTCCCAGAGAGGTGGAGTCTAAGATCCAACCTGACACATAGCCGCAGATGAACAGACACAGACAGACACAAACGTGCATTCCCACAGGGAGGGACCAAGCAGCAAAGGCATGTCTTCAAAATGTTTTTTTAATTATTATTTTAACACCCCAAAATGTAAAAAATAAATAAATAAAAAAATATCTCTATCTATCTATCTATCTCTATATATCTATCTCTAGATATATCTATCTCTAGATATAGAGATCTCTATATCTAGAGATAGATATATCTATCTATCTATCTATCTATCTATCTATCTATCTATCTATCTATCTATCTATCTCTATATCTATATCTGAACTCAAAAAGTAACTTCCAGAAACAGAAACCAAACAAATTACGCACAACAAACTGACCTAATCACAAAGGCAGAGAAGGGTAACCTTTACAGTAGTTTGGCCATTTACACCATTTACACACAATAGGGGGGAAACAAAACAAGTACGAATACTAACTAAGCACAGAATAACATAACTGAACCTAAAAGCAAACAAACAAAAAATAATAATTTGAGTAGGTCCTGCTGAGCAGGCATTGTGGTTTCAAAGTCCTCAGCCCTTGGCCACGCCTTTTGGCCAGACAGGAAACAGCCACCTTCCCAAACCAGGTAACTCAAAGACATATTGATATGACATATTATATACAAACATATTAATATAACAGAAAAAAAAAAGAAAACCCACACAATGCTATTATGTGCACGCTTCATTATATCACTGTTAGGTTTAAGTGACGACATCAATGAATTATATTACTGAAATAACTGCAAACCAAACTAATGTGGCTGATGCCATCACACCCATCCTCATGCACACATATGTAGTTACACTTGCCCAACATGGAGACAAACAGGAATAAACACATTGTACACACACTAACACTCCCAAAAGATACTCTATACACCCAGGTCCAGGAACCATCACCCCCAGAGGGGCAATCTGCCCCAGACCCAGGAGATGGTGCCCTTTTCCCTGCGATGGAGACAAGCAGGCTGCCCCCAGTCCTGCAGTAGCAGGAAGCAGTGTTGGTCAAGTTACTTGAAAAAAGTAATCAGTAA